GATAAGTACGAATAAAAATAATTTTAGAGATATTGATTATTGGATTTGAACTGTATTCGTAATATCAAAATTTAAGTTGTAATATTCCAAGTTAGACCTTTCATGAACCCCATTTGCCACGCAATTATTTTGTAACGGCTGTAGATTTGAACTAGGAACCTAGATTCACAGCTATTGTCAAGTCATGGTGGTCTCAAATGACAATGGCATGGAGTTATTATCAAATATATATGTCTAAAACTCGGACCTAGAACTCATATCTAAAATTCATACCACGCAATTATTATCAAGTACAGGAAGATTGGAAGTCCGGTAATTCAAAGTCCAATATATATATCTATAACTCGTACCTACCTAAAATGTTACATATAGATAGTGAGTTCATTTATAATATATTACGACACTTTTACTCAAGGACGGAGTCAGAAAAATATTTTAAGGTGGGCACATTAATAAGTTTTAGTTTCTTTTGAACAATGTTGTGGAACTTATTTTAGGGACTTAATCAAATACCTAATTGATTATAGCTATTGGATTAGTTGTAAGTTTTGATGTTAGATGGAGCCTTCTTTCACTCCAAGGATTGCATTGAATTAGGTCCTATCATTAGGATCCAAAATTAGTTTCAAATATTATTTCCGTTTTTTTTTATCAATTGTCCACATAAGTTCATAAATTCATATTTATTATAATTATATTTAATGCATAAAAATTCATTAAACATAAAAAGTTAAAAATCGACTTACATAACATGAACAATAAAAAATAAGAAGAAATTAATTAAAATTTTGTATGAGACTAATTGTTGTCATTAACAATTGAATTTGACGAGTTTTTATCATTTAAAAATATTACAAATCAATGATACCAATAAATTCTTTTTTCTATATACAAAATGATAATAACAATCTTCCATTTATTACTCTGTAATTAAATACATAATGACACTCATTTCTATACAATAACAAAACAATCCTATCATTTAGAAATGACTCCAATATGTCTCAAACTTATTCAGACATGTCTGAAACGTGTCTAAAAATTTAAGAATAATATTTTTTTCGGGAGGTAAAATTGTATTGATAAGAACCATTACCTTACAAGTAAGAAGGTGTCGTAACATTCAAAGGATCAACAACCAAAAAACAAAAGCATGTGTCTTAGTCTGGTATCTAGAATTCACGAGTAAGTATAGGCCTTGAGCCAGTACTTCCCCCAAAATCCTGTATACCAAGAGCAGCAACATGGTATTCAAAAAGAAACACACAAGAAAATTATCTTAGGCAGGATGCAAGGATCTGCCATTGGTGTGCAAGTTGCCCATTCAAATTTGAATTCTTAAACCTCAAAGAGAATAGTTTATCTCTGATGGTGTGTTGGATGATTTTTTCCAGGTTGTTGGGGTCCGTGAAGAGATTGTTAACTCTATTGTTTCTCTCTCGCCAAACATTAGAAACAGTTGGAGCTAGGCTGATCTTGCATATGACTGAAGCATAGATTTGTTCTTCCACTGACTTGAAGCCCGTTCAATAAAATCTATCCGGTTCCTATCCATCACCTGTAGGCCATTAACTAGCATAACTAATTTCCAGCCAGTTGTAGAATTTGAACCCTCAAAAAAGAGGTGGGAGTGGGACTCAGGAGCAGCTCTGCATAATATACATCTAGTTCCTAACTGAGGGTTAAATGATTGGACCCTATCAAGAGTGCTCAACTTCCTTCTAATGTCAGGCCATAATATGAAGCTCATTCTAGGAATATATTCAGCAAATGACACTAATTTATGCCCACAAACTTGTGTAATCTTCACTCTTATATGTTCCCAGGTAGAAGCTATGGAAAATTTAGCTCCAGAAGAAGTCCATCTCATGAAGTCTTCTCAAAAAAATAGCAAGATAATTAGTTTTCTTGGTCAGCTGTGATACCTAAACTATAAAGATACAGCCAATATATTGGATCACGACTAACCAATGGACAATCCCAATTTTTTAGATTAACTATGCTAATATATCACATAAAACAACAGGTTTGGGTCTGTTGGGTATTGTTTTTTATTGTTTTTTTGATCGAAAGCGTAAACAAAATTATGAAAAGATGCTTAGTAATGTTTTATGTTTTTAATAAATACGTGGTCAATTATGTAGATTAACCGCACTTTAACACGACTAAAGCTCAACACAAAATTAGCGGGTTAAGATTGACTATTTCTCGATTTGAAATTGAAAATGATACAAACCACTAACAAGAGCAATAAAACGACTTCTCAAATAACCCGATTTTGATACGACAAACATGTTTAATTGGTATTTTACGAGGAAAATATTTGGTTTGTCTCATTTCTTGGTAAGGATTATATGAATCCATGTAGGATTGGGTTATTTTTTCACTTAAGAGTTGATGCCATAAATATCAAGTAGATTATTAGTTTAAAGAGGGACTATGGGTTGTGTGTTTGATTGAGGGGTAAAATAGTGTTGGTCTAGAATTTCTAACTCTCAGGTTGTTCGTGTCAACCCAAGCACCACACGATTAATAAATATGTCGACTTAGTGTCAGAACATCTGATACGATTAATTTTATGGTTTGAGTTAATATTTAACACGAGTTCAAAATAATATGAATGAAAAGAGAGACAATACGACTCAATTGTCACCATTTTGCAATTTCTTATGAATTATACAGGCTATATGTCCTAGTTTTTCAACACTATAAACAAAGTAATAATAAACAGCAATTTCTAGACTAGCTGGACATTTAACTATGAAATGGTTAAGATAATAAAATCCTAGAAAGGTTAAGCGTCAGAGTTGGGTGTGAATGTGAGAGCAAACATTATGTATACAAAACCAAAAAGAAAGATTAAGTCAACGCGACACTCGAATCAAAGGCCGGCCAGATCTAAAGATTCGAATCAAAGGCCTCAAAGAAAATTCTAAATGATGTCTTATTTACGTTTTCCATTGATAAGAAAATTAGTATGGAGAAACCGTCTCTCTCCTTCATTTATGAGAGGAAAACTCTTAGTCACATAATCTTTCAAAATAGTCGACGACGCTTTGATGCTCTGTGCGCAAGTTCGTGCTTTGATAGTAAATTCTCCATAAATTCACACTCTCAACTCTTACTTACACACATGATTACTTATTATTACTTAAATTTTTATTTTGAAAGTACATACTCATGCATAAAGATACATATCAAACTAAAATAATATGTATAACTTATAACTACTATTTAAGAACTTTAAAATTAACGTATATTTAAAAATTAAAGATTTTTGCCACATAATTGTGCGTAAAATTTTATTTTTATTAATTTGGTTAATTTGTGTCTGAATACAAAATACATGATGCTCCAAGGCACTCCTACTCTCAAATATTTTTGAATTTTGCCATTTTTGCGCTCCCTCTCTATCTGATCTAGGGTAGACTCCCTCCACACACAGTTGTTGTTTAATTTTGTTTCATTTTATGTGGTTTGTTTGAATGACCGGCAAATTAAGCCATGCAAAGGTATAGAAAAAAGGGTAAAAAACGTAGTTGGTCCTTAAACTTCATTTCAAATTTAATTTGATCATTGAACCTTTAATTGTATCTCAATTTAATCCCTCAACTATCAAATTTGTCTTAATTAAGTTCTATCATCAATTTTCATCGTTAAATTTATCGGAGACTACCTCAATCTGATTTATTTCAGCGTTAATCTAGTGATGGAAATAGATGGAATAACTTAATTGAGATTAAATTAATAATTTAGGGACTAAATTGAGACAGTTAAAAATTTAAGAACCAAATTAAAATCGAAAGCAAAGTTCAGGAATCAACTATGATTTTTACCCTAGAAACAATAGCATATTTAGTTGGAATAGAAAAGTGGAAGGAAATAATAGTAAAGGAATGAGCCTTCTCTCTAGCCCACTAAATTCTATCTCCCTAAATTGAGATGAAAAAAGTAAAGGAAAGATAATTATACATGTTAAAATATAATTCTTCCTATCAAACACAAAAAAAGATAATAAATGTTCTTGTTCATTGACAATAGAAAACACATCTCTCAAATTTTTGTCTTTCGTCTTTTTCATCCTTCCTACAAAGTAGAAGTGTATCTGAAGTAAATTCTCTCTTTTAGAATAGATGTCGAACCCGTATATAATATTACCAAATATTTATGAATTTTTCTCTTCTATTCTCTAATAAAATTGACCATATGATAAATGTAGTTAGAGTAAAATATATTTTTCACTCGGGGCCTAAATGACCATCTCGGGGGCCTTGGCCTGAGAAGCCTTAATTTTTTTTGTCAACATTATTAAAGAAATTTAAATTTGACGTGATTACCAAAGATAATAGAAAATTCAAATGTGTTATATAGTTAACAATGGCAATAGCACAAATTATGTGGGTCACATGGAAGAATTTAGTATAGTATAAATTTTGCACACCGCTTACGCGTACAAGTATTATTTTTTATTTTATTTTTGGTCACTATATAAACTATTCATAAAAAGACAACACATTAACTTTCAAAAAGAAAAATAAAATATCATCTCAAAGTACTATAGCTAACCTATTCCTATCCTAGCTTGTTTTTTTTTGACCAAACTTGCTTTTCAATGAGCTACGAGATTCGTCCACTTGGTGTTGACACCATTGTCGGTGACCTCTTATCAACACTATTTTATTTTAAATTTATAATATAAAATAAGACAGTATTCAATAAATTTATTTGACGGTCTCAAATAAACTCATTATATTTCTCTAAAAACTATTTATATTACACCGTGCATTTAAACACGGGTTACCCATAGTTTTTAATATGGCGGCACAAAAAAAAAGAATTTATTTATATATATATAAGATACAAATGTTTTCATGACAATGAAAGAAAATACTACTTTTTTGTCATAACTGTATGTATATTTTGTGGGATTGGAGGTCATGCAGTGTATGTATATGCAGTATGATACCATAAAAGTTCAGGTGAACAAAGAGGAAAACCCAAACTCGGAAATGGAGTGGACTAGTAGTTCCCTTGTCTGGTTGAGTCTTTCTTTATTGGCTGGAGTTCTTCTGCTCAGTTGGAGAAAGGTCAAGAATGGATCTACCGGAAAACGACCACCGGGGCCAGCAGGATGGCCAGTGGTCGGAAATATTTTCAGTCTGGGAACGATGCCGCACCAGAACTTCTACAAAGTCCGACCAATTTATGGACCAATTCTTTGGCTGAGGCTCGGAGCAGTGAACACCATGGTTATACAGTCGCCCAAGGCGGCTTCTGAACTGTTCAAGAACCATGACCTTCATTTCTCTGACCGCATGGTTCCAGATGCAGTAACCGCCTTGGATTACCACAAGGGATCGTTGGCCTTTGGTAATTACGGCACCTACTGGCGCATACTGCGACGTCTCTGCACCATGGAGCTCCTAGTTAACAAAAGGATCAACGAGACAGCATACCTCAGGCAAAAGTGCATTGACAACATGATTCAATGGGTTCAGGAGGATGCATCGGCTTCACGTGCTCGGGGAGGGTCAGGAGAGGTGGAAGTGACCAACTTCCTCTTCCTCATGGCTTTTAACGTAGTTGGAAACCTCATGCTGTCAAGAGATCTCCTAGACTCGCATTCGGAGGAAGGGCACGAATTCTTCAATGCCATGAGCAAGGTCATGGAATGGGCTGGGAAGCCTAATGTAGCAGACTTCCTACCATTCTTAAAATGGCTAGACCCACTAGGGATCAAGAGGAATATGACGCGAGATATGGGAAGAAGCATGAAGATCGCAACTAGGTTTGTGAATGAGAGAATTCAAGACAAGCAGTCGGGCAAAGAGAAGCAGAAGAAAGATTTGTTGGATGTGTTATTGGAGTATGAAGGTGACGGCAAAGAAGTTCCTGATAAGATCTCAATGAGGAATGTGATCATAATCATATTGGTAATTATTTACCCATATCATTTTGGTATTTTTATTCCACTGCTACAATTGATGTCAAGATGATCCAACTTAACATCATATTTGAAAGAGTTATTCACTCTGGATTGTGTAGGAAATGTTTTTTGCAGGATCGGAAACTACAAGCAGCACAATTGAATGGGCAATGACTGAGCTATTACACAACCCTAGCTCAATGAGAAAGATTAACGAAGAGCTTGATCACGTCATCGGATCTAAAAGGAAGGTTCAAGAAAGTGACATTGATGGGCTGCCATATTTGCAAGCGGTTGTGAAAGAAACACTTCGATTACATCCGCCTATTCCTTTGTTGCTTCCACGGAGCACAACACAAGACACAAATTACATGGGATACCTCATACCAAGAAACACCCAAGTGCTTGTGAATGCATGGGCAATTGGAAGAGATCCTGATTCATGGGATGAGCCCTTGTGTTTCAAACCAGAAAGGTTTTTAGACTCTAATATTGAGTACAAAGGGCAGCATTTTGAGTTGATTCCATTTGGATCTGGGAGACGGGTTTGCATAGGCTTGTCCTTGGCTCATAGAATCATTAACCTTGGACTGGCCAGCTTACTACAGTCTTTTGATTGGGAACTTGATAGCTATGCGACTCCAGAAACTATGGACATGAAGGAAAGGATGGGAATAACTCTGCGGAAGCTAGTTCCCTTGAAAGCAATACCCAAAACACGAGCTGTGTGAAGACGAAATGATCATAAAAGAAGGTTATTCAATCTAGTTGTCAAGTCAAAATATGTACTGCATTCCATTGCAAGTCTTATGGTAGTTTTTTGTGGACTCCAGTATAAGGTTTTATGTAGAATACTGCAAGTATCAAGGATAATATGGTATGGTATGGCTTGAATTTATCCTCACAAGCAATCCTCTTACTAATTTTCTGTGTAATCCATATAATCTTGCTTCCCTGATGCAATATGAGTTTTCTTTCATCTACATGGCCCAAAAGCCGTATGACTAATAAGCTCGCTCATATATTACCCCCACCCCACAAAACAGAACAAAAAGAAAACCACAAAATAGTCCAAATAAATTCACTTATCCAAATCGTTTGCTCCCAATGCCATCACACACAACTAGGTAATTCCATTTTTTCTTCATTACTGTGACATAACCATGTAGCAGAAGCATTAATCTTCTTTATGTATCCACCATGAAAACAAGCATCTAGATCTCATAAGCCTTGGCCAGTAACTCTTTCCTCTTCTAAATATACATTAATCTTCATTCTGTATCCACTATGAAAACAACATCTAGCCCATAAAAGTCCTAACTCAGTAACTCTTTTCTTCTTCTTGTCCATGTTTTGTCATAAGATTAACCTTGCTGCCACTCTCATCTGTTGTTCCGCAAATAGGCAGATATAAAATAGAAATTTTCAAAATAAGGGGTTATCAGTGGTCAGATTCACAGCCAGCTTAAGCTGCAAACCTTGGCAACCACTGCTATTCCTCTTTAGACCTCCAGAGCAACCAAATTCTGGTCACATAGTGTTGCTCGTTCGTCTGATGGCTGTCCTTTTAACTCTGGAGAATTTTACTGGAAAGCTACAGATCTTAAAACTGTAGAAATTATCTCTAGAAGAAAGCCTACATGATTTGTTATAAGAAAAAAATAATGTACTATCGTCTGCCTGATGTCAGCCACCAAGAATACATGACCTAACCATCAAAGCCTGTTAATAAGGCAAATTTTCTTTTTTTAATAAAGCATATTGAGTCATATTGGATGGCCTACATAGAGCTGGAAATGGAAATGGGTCAGGTTCAACCAGTTCCAAAACCAATCAACTGCTTATAGTACTAAAAAAATTACTATTAAATTTGCAAACTACATTACAGTAGAAATCTGTTAAAAACTGCAACAGAAGTATCACAGTAGAAACTGTTAAGCATGATTCAAAATTAAAGCACATCACATAGAGCTTTAACAGGACTGGCTGGATGAAGTGTTATATATCAAACTCGCTCAGACAGGTAGAATTAGGCCAAACTTTAGAGAACCTTGGTTTGCCTTCCCTAATGACCATCTTGGTCTTTCCTCTATTTTAACAGTTATTTTTGCCTTCATCATGTTTGACTGTCACTCAACAGCAGGTTGGCCTGACACTTCCTACGTATGATACTCTTGCAGCAACTCAATCAAGTCGTGTCCTAACTATTTGAATAAAATAGAAATAAAAAGAATTGGTAAAAACTGTCCCCGTGAATATATGCCTTTCAAGAGGCCACATACATCTTAATGGTATAGGTATGGTTTTGCCAGAAACTGGTTGTGAGACACAAATTCATTCGTTATATAAACAAAACAAGGGGATGTTCATAAAATAATGCAATTAGATGAAGGTTTACACCAAAAGAAGTAAAGAAATTGCACACAAAGTCAAAACACTACCTTAAAAATGCTGGAAGAATGCCCGCTCTGTAATAAGCAACCTCCATAAGAATCCGAAAACTGCACTGCACAGTTGACCAAGAAGAAATGGAGCTCTTCATGAACTTTGTGCCATTAGCTGTCTAGTTATACATGAGAAATCTCTTATGTGGTCTGATCAATCACACCATGGACGATGTTATCCTCGTAAAGCAAATAATTGAGACAAGTTCTACTGCATCCAGACCCCAGGAAGGCTTTTTTATTGAATTCACTACCAAACCGTGAGAGATAATTGAGGCCCATAAGAAGCTCAGCAATTGCTGCTTCGGTCTTTGCTTGACTTGCAAAGTACAAGGTCTGGACAAGAAGCACATTTGTCCCAGAAACTATATGCTGCTTCTCAAAATTTCGCTCAGAATGCCACCTTATCATGTTGTGAGCAAGTGGTGCCAACCATTCTAATATCCTTATTAGAGCTAAACCCCACTCTACTGCGAGGGCTTCATCATAAACAGATGAAGCCAATGTTTTGATGAATACCTTCAGCTTTGCCCTCAGGGATTTTCTGACACTTGTGGGTAACATATTGTACAGTTCATTTCTATCATCAAGGCTGATCAAATGAGGTGACGAAGCTAGCTTTTCAATCAGGATGATGACATTTGCATAGTGAAGAGCCAAAGCAGCATCACCAAGAGTAGAAGGAGGAGCTGCCAACAACTTCCTCTTGGAATGGAATAGTGACACTTCTCTATAAATTGTGTCACCATAGGAATACTGCATGCGGTTGGTATTTTTTATGCTAGCACCATCTGGTAGAAATACACAAGTTGACATCAGAGAGCCACTACTTGATGGCATGCAACTCTGCAGAACCGGTGAAGTTCTTCCAGCCATCATGCATCCTCCGAAAGGCCCAGCTTGAGCCAAGCGTCTGGTTTTCATCCGTGGGTGCTTTCCAGAAAGGATAAAAGCATGTGCTTTCTTATTGTTTGATTTATTTCTACCACTACTTAGCTCCAAATTTGAAGCTGACCTCTCCAGAGGAGCTGAATAAAACTTAGACAGGTTACTTCCAGACGGATGAACTGCAGCTTGCATAAGAGCAGAAATAGAATGGCTGCGGACCAGACCATCCGTATTTGAATGATGCGGATCATTAGTTCCCTCAACAGCGCCTATCTGGTTCACCCCAAATATATGTTTGATCCTCTTGACTATAGTAAAAAGAGATCTGAGCAGTAGTCGTACAGTGTAGTCATATGTTCTTATCCAAGGAGACATCTCACGCAGATGCCTCACCTCCTGACGCTGCCACATAACTTTCTGCTGAAACTCAAGCAATTTCACTCGACTTAAATCAGTAGTGACTTGCATTCTCCTCAAACTCTGCTCAAGCTCAGCCAGCACTTCCACCTCTTGATACAACTGTGCTGTAGCTGCAACAAATCTCTCCATTTTCTTAACCTTCCTCTCCATCTTCTTCGGCCTATATTCCCACGCACAACAATTGAGAACAATCTCAACTGAGTCATCAAAAATACGTTCAAGATTTTGATACACTGGGTCCACACACCTCTTCCCAAGCCTAACAACCGATTTTGCCACACATTCCAATTTCTCAACTATCTCAATTAGAGCAAGATCCATAAGGTAATAATCGTTATCCGAAACTAGTTTCTGAATCCCAAGTGAGTTTACAATTTCTTCTCTCAGTCTAACGATCTGCTTGTCACTTAGATAATGCCATAAATTAACTACTTTAGACATCAAACTAGCAACCTCGAATGCCAAAATCCCAATCACAGCCTTATCAGGCTCCAATGTCATGCTCTTACGTGAAGTCCTCCACAAATTACTGAACCACGAATCTATCACCTGCTCACCCCCCATTACAGCACAAGTATAAATCTATATACAAGCCCGAACAAAAGCCCTTTCCTGCCTCGAAATTTAATAGAAAAACAAAATTTAGAAATCAAACCCTTCCCACTAAAACATCAAATAACAGGAATTTTTTCCCATGCATCTTTTAAATAAAAAGATTTAAATTCATAAATATTAAATATACTTTGGTATAAATACTGATATCTGTGTATTTCCTGAAAGAAAAATGCAGCGTTCGGCAACATTTCAGTTGGGTGTGGATATTAAAATTGAAGCAAGATCAGTACAAAACTTGAAATAGCTCTCTTCCAATTCCAATACCATTCATTCTCATAATCAAATGGGAACAAAACTAAGCCCTAAATCTTCTCCTGAGTTTCATGACTCCATCTTCTAGAATAAACAACGTAGCTGACTAGCAACAAATCGAACAAAAATACAGTGAAAAGAAAAACCCTTAACCCTACCTAAACTCTCCATTCGTTCCCCAAGAAAATCTAAGTGAGCTCTTAGGTTTATAGTTTCAGTTTCTAAGCCTAAACTTTCTCAGCAACCAAAAAGAACATCTATGCAACACCTGAACCAGTGAAATTATTCAAGAATAATAATAACAATAAAAAAGAGAACTCACCGTTGATAGATTGAACTGCTCGTGTGTCAAGCTACATTAACTTCTACAATTGCAGAAACTGCAGAAAATTTGTTAAAGAGAGAATCGGTATAGAGAGAGAGAGAGAGAGAGAGAGAGAGAGAGAGTGGAGAGACGGATGCGTAGTTTATAGTGAGCACACCACTGGCGTCGAATAGGACCGCTCAGCAACGGGACATGAGTACGGGGATTTAGTGGGATAAAAAGGACAAAACGGCGTCGCCGAGGTGAGTTTATTCTGATTTTCTCGGGTTTATACTCGTGCGTATTATCGTACCGTACAAAACGTTTGGGTTTACAAAAGGTCATTCGGCCATTTGGGATTAACTTCGTTGTCCCATTGTTATCAAGGTTTTAGCTGGGCTTGTTTGTGGAATTTGGAATTTCTTGGGGCATATGCTTGTTACATGATCCAAACATTTATATGTCCAATTGTTCTCGGAGAAAATACAGCATTGTCACGTGATTATTATCATTTAATAATATACTAACAAATAAATAAATAGTTTTTACATAAAACAATAATTACTTTACATGTAATACAACAACTATTGTCTCTTCTTTTATGTAAACTAATAATTATCGGTGTGTAATAAAGTAAGGTTCACTTCACCAATTTAGTATTTTATTATTAGATAGTGATATTACGTAATATTGTCTAACATGATATCATCATTGCCCTCTTATTTCCTGACACAATTGTATGTGGTAAAAAAAATGGCTTAGTCCATGAAATTTCTATTACTATGAAATTAGAAAATGGTCAGATGTACGCATACAAGAGATTTTGTTTTTGTAAGTGAAATTGTACATATCTGTAATATAAAGTATGATAGATTTTAATAAGTTCATCCAACAGTCTCAAATAGACTCATCAAACGGCCACCAACATTTCTCTCAAAATCATTCACATTGCATCGTGCCTTCAAATACAGGTTATCTTTAGTTGTACAATGAAATAAGTTTATCGTTGTGCCAAGACACACTCTCAACCTTTTCGTTGTGAAATAGAAACATATTGGCTTCTTGGAAGTATCCCCGCCAGGGGTATGAAATTGTGTGTATACTATTAGATTATTTATTAAATTGGATACCCTTAACCGTTTGAACTGAAAAAAAAAAGTCAATAAAAGCCTACCTTACTATTTGGAGTTAGCACGAATAAGAGAAAAAGAAAAACATAAAAATACAAAACATGTTCTTAAATTTTTTTGTAACAGCCACCTAACACACTAAATATTAAAAAATATATTTAATATTTATATTCCATTGTTTTTTGTATTCATGTCAACATGTTTAAAGAATATATGTGACTACTACGCATAGTGTAGTTACTAAATAATAATTATTTAGTAAAGTAACAATGAACTTGCAACCAAACTAAAAAAAATAAAGAATACCCAAAATATTTTAGATAGAAAGTCATCGTGATAATCTAGATGGAAGTTTTTAGATTCAAGTCTTACAAGAGACGTTTTGTAAACCAATGAGCACATAATTTACTAATACTTATCATGTGATTTATCGGTGATAACACAAACGATGCGTGATTATGATGTGTTTTTACAAAGAAACATAAACAGTTTTCAATCTTGATGTTTCCTAAGCCAAGTTTCTCTTCTGAATTTCATGTTGCTTTCACAACTTACATCAGTTATATGCCTCAATACTCGTGGATCCATTAAATATTCGGTGCTGCCTTAAAATCATCAGTCCTTAGAAAGCTAAGTAACGAACACTTTCTATGTTTGGCAGGCGAAAGAATTTTTTTGCTGTTTTAACAACAATGTAAGTTCCAGAAATGGGTTCAAGTTCAACAGTGGAAGTCATAGGGTATGGACATCCAAATTCTGATACTGATTTTGAGAGCTCATTTAATTATAGTAAAGCCCCCCTCAAGATTTAAATGCATCATAGAAGTTCTCAATTTGGTTGTCATTTGATTTACTTGTCTAGTGAGGACAAAAAGTCCACCAACAAGAATGTGACACTTGGCAGGACATAGCGTGTCAAAATGTCCCATTATGACAAAAACATTCCACCAATAAGGATACAACACTTGGCACCTAAAGTGATTGATGACATTAATACTCAAAAGTGTGAGACAATTGCTTGAACTGAGAAGTTCAAAGCTTAGAAACAACAGTTTGTGAGTATGAACAATGTGCGAGAATGCGAAAAATCGATACGTGGTTGAGCCTGAAGGTTCTATAAAATGCTACAAGAAATGTAGAACAGAAGTAAGAACTAGAGAATGGGAGAGAACACACAGGCTATAGTAGTTCATTAGCTGAAAAGCTTGACTAATTTACTCTAATAAAGTCTCTTACTCGTTGGGAGGTTTTCTATTGCTTGAAAAAAAAAAAGTTAAGGGTTATAATTGCAGAAATTACAATTTTTTTGTCTATACATGGGCAATTACCCTTGTATTTATATCCACATGTGGGGTGGTTCTCACGTCATCATCGTATGGTCCCCCATTTATTAGGATTTTGTTAAGGGAATATTTGGCCGTTAGAGGTTACATTCCATAGGTGTGCGTGGCTTTCTAGAATATGATGAGGTGGCATTGATACCCCTCCCTAAGCCTGAATACGCTATGATCTTCCTTGTCTATAAGAGGTTATACTATTGGAGTCGACATCTTGTTCCTTTGAATAGCTTGTGGATAAAAGAGTAGTTCCATTTTCCTGACCAGAGCTAGAAATATTATACTTCCTCATGATGTGATATGGACGGCCAAGATACCTTTATTTGAGGTCGTACTTAGACGACCTGGACACCTTTTTCTAAGGTCGTACGTGAACGACCTTAACACTTTTTCCTAAGTTGGATGTGCAACTGCAGGTAGGGAGACATACCTCATTATTGGACCCTCACTAAAAATGAGATATCTCCATATCCTTTCACTCTTTTTCGGTATTAGTTCTGGTATCATCAATTATCCCCTAGTCCCGAGCTCATCCTGCCTGTATTGGGAGTAGATTGGGACTAAGCTACTATACTCCCAAGGTGTCATTCCTTAATGAAACATGTTCATGACGTTAGTCAATTGAAAGGACATGACAGAACAATTTTCCTAGGATTACGGCGTCGTGCAAGAGTGGGGCGTAGAAGGTGCCTCATTTCTTGGACCATGCCAGTAACATCATACCATGTGGAGAAACGTGCAGGCACATTTAATGCACACAATGAGAATAAACCACCAAAATTTTCCTGTGCAAACCCTTCCAAAACTCAAATTCCTACTTTACCAAATTTATCTCTACTATCCCTAGAATGTTCTTGTTAGATTTGAGAGGAATCGGTTGAAGGTTTCAGAAGAATCAGGAGGTTTCGGGCTACAGTTCTTTACTATCCGATGATAGTCTTGTTGGGACTTAGGTTCCTCGTCTTTTGGTTGCCCTTATCGTCTTCTAGGTATGTTTTTCTTCTTCCCTTTAGCCCTTTTTTGTTTTTTTTTTATTGAACATGGATCATTTTGATCTTTGGTGTTGGTCATAGGGTCTTCATTTCCTGGTACTTCGTTTCCATTACTTTAGAGGCTTAGGTAGGTCTTTAGTAGCGCTTCCCCACTTTTTGGACCCTTTTACCACAACTAGGGTCTTTTTGCTAGGCTGTTGGTGTTTAGATCCTCGTGCCTTTGAGGATTGCTTTTTGAGAATATCTCCTCCATTTTATTCTAAGTTAAGTTACTTTGTATTGCCAACCTTAAACATGTATGGGGCGTCTTCTGCCACTAGATCTTCCATCTCTCTGATGTTTGGGAATAGAGACGAGGATCTTGAGGTTGAGTCTTCCCCCCCCCCCCCAAAGAAAGGTGATAGACCTTGTAAAGGATGAGGACCCTCTACTGGTGGTACCTTGCGAGGAGAATACTTCTCAACAGGAGGCTCCTTTTTCGGATCCTCCTCACCTCCCCAAGAATATGCATGAAGAGGGTACTTTTGGCAGAGTTAAGAAAAAAAAGACTCCTAAAAAAAGGATTACCAAATTCACTCGAGTTGCCTTCTCAGGTGAGGTTAGTATGTTAATACTCAGGTAGGTCTGGAGACTTGTAGGGACCAACTATAACATTGATCCATAGCCGCATGATCAAGTGTAGGCTTTAATCCTTGGTCAGTCGCACCAATTTCCCAAGGATGTTAAGGTCTATCCTCTTTCAAATGTGGACCGCTTCAATGTGTATTTGATTGGAAAGACTTGCTTCTTTATTTTAGCCTTTGAGTCAAGTCTTAGGTTTCATATGCATCATTTTCTTAAGTCTGTCCTCCGATTCTTCAAATCTTTCCTCAAGGATGTCTCCAAATTTCTAGGGAATTCTTGTCGGTCTTTTAGTCTTCTAAAGGGAGAATGACCTAGATGAATCTTCCTCTATTGCCTAGCTCATTTTCTACTTCAATGTCAAGTGCTCTCCTGTTTATATCTCCAAACAGGAGTAGCCACTTGGCTTTTCCGAAGGTTAACTTCCTTTAATTGAAAACCAAACCTTGGTCTCGTCCATTACCATTAGTAATGGGAGAACGAATCCCGGTTCAGAACTCAATAATCCAGTAAAAACGGAATCAGAGGATTATCCTATTAATTTTGAACCAACCTCACCTCGCATAGATCACGCCGACCTACCCACCCTGTGTGTGTGGGTGCCCAGTTCATCTCCCCTTTTTTAAACTTCCCCGCTCCTAGTTGTAGGTGCCCCTTCTTCCCATGAGACTTGAAATTTTTTTATGTCTCTGGTGATGCATGGGAGGTGGATGTGAATTATGTCTTGGATGTCCTCCATGTACCTTAGTTTTTGGGAAATCCTCAAAACTTGGTTGAGTGTTGAGCTTCCAACATTTCTTCTCCTTTAATGTGAGCTATCTATTCTGACCTCTCTTTTCTTGAATTTGTAGGGTATTGACCTAAGCTGAACTATTCTGAGGAGCTCAAGGTTGCAAGAATCTAGAAATGTAAGACCAGAAGCTTCAAGGAGCTCGTGACTTCATAGAAACTAACGAATCATGGTCTTAGCCATCCAGTGGTCGGAAAGCTTCCAATTCCTTCTCCTTTCACCCCTTTTGTGGATGAGGACTTTCCTCTTGAAGTCAATCGAGATCCTTCTAGAAAGTGTTCCAAGACTTAGTTTATTTTTCTTTCGATTTATGTATCTCCTCTAACTTCCCTAATCGTCTTGTGTTGTCCCTTTCAAACCTTCATCCTATGGCCCATGAGCTCAATGTTATAAATGAGGCTATTGTGTGCCTCATTTTATAATCAACAAATATAATTACAAAAATATTATATGCATGAAATGTTTTTCAGTCATTTAGTTAGTGAAGCAACCCACTATTATCCAAATGCGGGCAATCATTTGATGTACAATTTAGTGCATATAGCATAACGCAAGTATTAGAAATCTCGATTGGCAATCGAGACACTCCTTTACTTCAAAATGCTCAGCATGACTAGAAAACCTCTCTTTTTTTATCTCTTCTTTTCTTTTTATATAAAATTATGAAATAATATACTATTTTGTGGAATTTTTCAAAGAAAATTAAGGAGAAAACTAAAAAAAAATATAAATATAATTACTCCTAATTGTTTGAAAATTTCAGATTTTATCTATTAGGATAGCTCGACTTGCTGTACTCTAAAAGAAAAATTAGTGAACAGAAATAATAAGAAGAATTCACCGTTCAAGCCAGTGGGCATATGAGAACCTTATATATTTTTGCTTTGATTTCTGCAAATTTAACTTGTATAAAGACCAATGTTTGTCTCTTTTCTCTCTTTACCACCCCTAAACACAAATATATATTTTGGCTAGTAATGTAAAAAAATAAAAAGTGCATTTTTGCTTGTTTGCTAAAGAGATCTGAACCAGTACGTACCTTAGCGCCTAGAAGAAAGCTTTCACTAGCTTTGTTTTACTATACAGAGAAATTCTCATTGAGAGCGAACTAAAGGAATGGATAGGATTAAGATGCAATCGATCTTTACCTTAGCAATGATAGAGATAGCATAGTTGTAAACAGGGGCAAGGCTCGACTTGTTGCCCTCTTTCTTCTTTCTTCAGCAATCACTAATCCAATAATGCACTTAGTTCAACAGCCAAAAGGTTATCACTTTGGAGGCATGTACTTATTCAGAGAGGTAGTGTAACTGCCTTAGATGTCTGCAACAAGTAAAGAATGAGTTATACTTGCAAAATGTTATAAATATTGTGGATGATTACTATACATAAATAGTAACACATAGTACTAAATAGTGTTGTAAATGACATTGGCACATGGGTAGAAGATGGATGAACACCACTACATTTATGTTTACTTTGCACCACTTGTCGAGTAATTAATATAAGTAATAAGTGTAGTAAATATAAAGATGAGATCCACACAAGCAACATAGATATAGAGTAATTCGATCAAAGTGACCTACTTCACTTTAAAGGTGGCAATGGTGGTCGAATGACTTTGATGATAAAGTAATCGATGGGAGAAAGAAAGCAAGTGTAAGCTCAAGGTATGGAGAGATAACTCTAAGAGATGTGTTGTGTGTCCTTCATGTGTAGAGGACTTACAATTTATAGGCACAGAATCTTAGTTGAGGTGGTGGCGTAAGAGATAGGTTAATAGTCCTTCGGGGAGGATAACTACAGTTAAGGATAGGTACAGTTAAAGATAAATGTGATCTTCAAGAGTAGTTATCTCAGTAATTACTCTCATGTGTGTTGATCTAAGTGGACTCCTTGAACTTTAAACTAGGCCGCATCCATGAGTTGGGTTTGACCTGCTTTGTAGCTAATTTGCGGCTTACTCCATGAATTAGGGTTGGACCCAGTTGGATCTGGGCTCATCACTAGTTGATGCCTACATGCGTTGCACGTAAATTATTTTGTTGAAATAGTAACATATATATTTCAAACGACTAATCTCATGAGTATAATTGACCCACTTTATGATTTCCTGATTCTTATATTAATCACTTAAATAATGATGGTAAGTTGAAAAATAGTAGGAATGCTTATATATTTGATATTTCTTATTGGAAAGTATAAATATTGGTTCAAAGAGACAAATTAGATCATAACATAATTTCCATTTATGTCTGGTAAAATGTAGATTACATTATTAGAAAGAATAGGTGTATTAAAAGGATAAGAGAATAAATCTAATTTTTATTTTTCATATAAGTTTTGAGGTAATCTGCCTATGAAGCTCTAACTCCTAGTCTTTAGAACATTTTACATGAAATTAATTAATTTGATAAATATTATTTGTGATATAATGTTAATTTTCTAAAGGTTAAAAGTGAGGATTGAAATATAAGGTTTCACAACATTTTAAGTGCTAAAAAACCAAGTCATGCAATATTTTCTACAAAAAATGTAATCGCACCATTAGATGAAACCACGTATAAAATTGTCTTGATCTATTAACTTGCAATTTTTCAATACAAGCTCAAGAAAATCCAAATGTAGTGCAAATTTAGTGGGACCAACTCTTTTTATCAATTATACTGTGAGTAAAATACACATAATTAACAAGGATACCCAATGGCTGGAAACCCATCTAAAATTTGTGTTGCTTATGCACAAATGAAGTGCATGGCTTCAAAGTCCAAAGTACTTACATTCGATAATAAATGAAATCATACAAAAGATTAGGGTTGTGGACAAAGTCTCAATTTCCCATGTATCTACATAAATTAGGCTGATCTAAAAAGTTCAAATACAAGATTTTTGTATCCTATAAAACATATAATACTTAACATTCGTTGGTTCTCATGAAAACACGCAAATGGATAATAAATGACAAGAGGTAGTTATATCTTTTCTTCTTTTTAATAGCTAAGATCTCCTTCAAACAAAACATTTTTCTTGACCTCCGAAAAATTTCTTTATAAATTTTATTAGTAGTATGAATACAAAAACATTAAAATGGCAGCTCGACCATCATCAGTTTTTTTTTTCCTTCAGAATTTCAACAGTCCTCATAACTGTAATCGTTACATATAATTTAATAATGTTAGTAACTACCAAAAAATAGGATTGACCTTATCTATTTTGCTATGGTTATTTTGGTCAAACAAAAGATTTTTTTTTTTAGGTGTTTTTATAAGTAGTATAAATCGGTAGATAATAACTCTTATAACTCAAATTATTGTATAATACATGTATAGATTAATAACTAGGCTTACTAAAAATTAAAAAAAGAATTAATTCTTTGACATATAATTTATTTATTCAATTCAATTACACATATAATTTATATTTTTTATAAGTTTAACAAAAAATATTATTTAAATATGTTCACGTGCAACGAACGTCGTGTATTACTAGCCTAATTTTTATAAACTTAATTATATCCTTATAACCTTCATATAATTTATGGTTTTATACATAATTTGACTTTCAAGTTTTTTTAAAATATTTTATAAGTGATATTTGACTTCCAAATTTTTGTGTACTCTTTTATAAGTGGTACACTTATATAAAATTTTTCATATCTACGTCTATATCTATATGCTATACACTTATGGTTAGCAAATTAGATTCTAAGATCAAATATATGTTATATATTTAATTTTTTTTAATAATTAATTTTAACAATAAATAAAATATAAATTAATTTTTTGACACCAAATTTATAATTTAATTTTATTACACATAAAATTTATATTTTTATAAATTCAATAAAAATATTATTTAAATTAGAACAAAATCCAGTTTACCCCCTCGTGGTTTGTGCCTTGAGTAGATGACCCCGTATCATTTGAAAATATGCACATCACCCCCCTGTAGTTATGGACTAAACCTCAACTCTCACGTTTTATGTCAGAAAAGACGGCAGTGGAATGGACGTGCTAGTTTGGCAATTGATGAAAGAAGAAATCAGTTTTTCTCCAAAATAAATATATACAAATGTAAAAAATGACCCGCTAATGCTATGATAAAAACTTGAGTCCTTCATTTCCTTTGGAAGGCTAGAGTACTGCCTTTCTACTGGAGCTGGAGGAAGGAAACAACCATAAAAAGGTAATTTATTTAAGCATATTTTTTTAGTAATATAATGGCTAATAAATTACCATGATAAAGATTATGCTTTTCTTATTCTAATTATTTTCATTTAAAATATGTGTAACAACATCATAATAATGTTTTGTTATAATTAGATGTCACACTTGAGCAACTCAAGGGGAGGGAAGCCTATGAATTTGAGGTTCAGTACCCAAATTTGTGGGTGTGGGTGTAAAGAGATAATCAAAGTAGTTGATTCCGAGAAACCGTCGAATGGAAGATTGTATTATGTTTGCAGGACTAAAAATTGTGAATTGTGGGCATGGTGTTATGTCATTTCAGTTTCGGGCATCTCAACTGGTATGTATGTCTGCCACTCCAAATGATGATGAAATTGTAAAAATAAGCAATAGGGTGATGATGATTGAAGCTAATCAAGAGGCCATGAAGTCTGATCAGGAGGCCATGAAGTCTGATCAAGTGGCCATGAAGTCTATGCTAAAGAGAATATTTATTATACCTGTAATTTGTTTGGCAGTGTTGGTTTTAGTCTTAAGCAAGAACTAAAAATAGGTTGTCTATGTTTTGAAGGACTGTTTAGTATTTAATGTAATGTAAAGGTGTTTAATCTAATGGAATGTCTATTTGACACAGTATCAGACTTCTATGGATTGCTAGACATATAAATATCAAATTCTCACAAGTCACAACCATCAGCTAGTTGTACAAAAAAATTCCAAAAAAGCAAAATGCTCACAACCATTTTCCCATATAACCAAAAGGAAATACATGTTTAATACAATCAAAAGAGCACATAGACTGTGCACAATCAAATGAGCACATAACATATTTTCAAAAGGCTCTTTTGATATAACATAGACAAAAAAATATTCCGAATTAATTATGACCTTTTTTTAGCCCTAATTCTATCCAATAAGTTGAATATACTTGTTTTGTGCACATTTCCAGCAGGTTGAACAAGTTAGATATACTTCTCAACGACACCACTCCCAAAACATCTCCCAATTGCACCATTCCTACGACCAACAGTGCAGGTTGCATCAGTAGTTGAGACTTGACCAGCAATGGAGGGTGCAAGCAATATTGGAGGCAGCAGCAGTTGAGGTGGCGACAATAGAGGCTAGACCAGCAGTGGAGGCTGCATCAGCACTAGAGGTAGCAGCAACATTGGAGGCAGCAACATTGGAGGCAACAACAGTGGAGGTTGGACCATCAGTGGAGGCAACAACAATATTGCAGGCTATAGTAGCATTGGAGGTAGCACCATTAGTGAATGTTGCACCATCAGTGGATTTCTACAATACCAAAAATGTAATTTATAATTAATGTGTTTAAAAAAAATAAAAAAATAATGCACAAATTATATTAAAAAAATCACTCTTACCCTCAATAACTTTGATTTAGGATGGATCATGTTCTTGCATGATCGTCTATTGTGACCAGTCTTCAAGCATTTTGCACAGGTGACATTAAGTTTTTTCCCTAGAAGCCTTATGGGGATTCTAGGCTCATCTGCCTCCTTTCTTCTCAATTTTTTTGGTCTTCCAGGTAGTTTCCGGAGTAATGGGGGCTTCAATGGTTGTATTCCACTATGAACATAATCGTGCATACCAGGGACTGAATGTATCATGTGTGCATATGCTTCCATATATACAGTTTTGATGTAACATCCGTGCACATATGTCTTTGGTAGCTCATTATTTGCTTGTATGGCACCTATCGCATGGCAGTAAGGTAGTCTAGACAACTCCTATTGTTTGCAAGTACATGTTCTTACTCTAGGTTCCACTATGAACACCCTATCAAAATGGTCCACCTTAAACTCAAGATCACCACACCAAGTAGGAAAACAATTCCTTGAATCAACCTTGTTTTGTTCTAGTTTTCCCTAAATACGAGGACATATTAAACCAGGATAATTTTCTATACTCTTCCTCCTTACTTGTATTCTGCTCATCAATTTCCTCCGAATCCACTTAAACATTCTAATTATGGGCATATCTCTTGCTTCAAGAAAATATGAATTAAACGATTCAGATAAGTTGTTTGCCAAAATATCACATTTACTTCTCATAGAGAAGTGTGATCTAGTCCACAAAGCTAGTTTGACACACTTCAACCACTCAGCAGCATTATTGTCAACCTGCTCTATCTTAGCCATCTAGTATTTAAAGTCATTCATACTGGCAGTTGAAGTAATTTTTCAGAAAAAATTCTTCAACTCTACACCCTTATACTTAGTCTTGAAATTGTTATATATATGTCTGAAACAGTATCTATGGGGTGTTGTAGGCATTAGTTGATCAAATGTATCCATAAGGCCCTTTTGTCTATTAGAAATAAACTCTCAACCCATATCCTTATGCCTTCCCAAGTCTCTTGTCAATTCAATTAGAAACCGACTCTAAGAATCTTTACACTCAATCTCAACAACTGCTAAAGCAATTGGGAACATGTTATCATTTCCATCCCTATCTATTGCACTAAGTAGTTGGCCTCCATATATCCCTTTCAAATGGCAACCATCAAGACCTATAATAGGTCTACAACCAACAACAAATCCTTCTTTCATGACTCCCAAACTCCAATACATTCTCTGAAAGGTTGGTTGCAATGTTTCCTAACTATCTCACAGTAGTCCCATAGTCTAACATATTGCTCAGCCACATCACCTGCTATTACATCTTTAGCCTTCCTTTTCACCCTGTAACATTGAAACCTGCTCGAATTCAACATGAAGTCTCTCTTTATTTTCTTGGCAAATGGGATAACATTTATGTTAGGATTATCTCTGACCTCATCCACATACTTGGTTCCCAAATACCATGAGTTGGCTTGCTTGTTCTCGTAGTGCCTACCACATGAATGTGAGCCTTTTAGTATCTTCAACTGAAAAGTTATGCTCCCTCCAATTGGTGAAGCATGTATCCTCCAGTCACACTCATACTTACAAATAGTAGTGATTCTCATATTTTCATTCTTCAAGTATTTGATGTCATTCTCATTCTTCACATTGTATTCCCTAAGTAGTTGTCTAAAAGCCTGAGGAGATGGAAATTTCATCCCAACCATAAGCTTGAGATCAAGCATCATTCTCTCATTGAACTCAGCGTAACCATCACCTTCTTCATCAGATGACCCTTTTAGACTGAGTAGTTCCTCTTCATTTCCTATCTCAGCACTCTATTCCTCATCCACTTGCACATTTACATTTGACTGAGATGGTCCAACATCTTGATTAACAAATGCTTCAGCCCCATTAGGTGGAAAGTCACTTCTAAAAATGTCATTTCTAAAAATGTCATCATCATCTAGACCTTCTAGGTCTTCATAAATCCAACTAGGGTCCTCACTATACTCGTCACTATCATAACATTCAAAGGTATTTAGTACATAGTCACTGTCATTAGAAACAGTCTCAAGTGTATCACTATTTTGAGTCTATTCATTGACATTAACATCAACTTCGTCAATGTATATTACAACTACTGACAGGTCTTCATAACATTTTAGTAACTCGATAACATCACAGTCTGACCTTATTTGCTTTACTCCCATGTCCAAACTGTACCCAAGAACCCTATAATATATGTTAACATTCACCTCTTCTCCTCCTACTGATACATACATGTCTATAATCTCAAGTAAAGAAATTTTGGCTGGTTCGCAATCTTCAATAATACTTACAGTACCACCTTTGTAAATAATTTTTGGTGTCCTCATGAACTTTCTCCCATGATGTAGTTCGACAGTAAATGTGTCCCAACCCATTCTACATTAAAAGATGTACATTAATAAACAAAATAGTGGAAAAACCTCTATCCCCTTTTACCCATCCAAAATCACCATACAACATGTGGTAGGACCACAAACTAGAAAAAACACCCACAGATGGAACTGTTTGGCATGACCACAAACCCAAAAAAACCAAATATTTAAAAGGGAAATCCTTAGTGGTAGGACCACTAAGCCAGTAAACAACAAATCTATGCCACAAACACAAAAAAAAAATTGAAAAAGTGATAAAGATTTTCACACACATAACCCGATGCATAATTTAGCATATAAAAAAAACTGGAAATAAGCTAACCTTATTTTTGGCCCTAAATCTTCTTAAAAAATCAAAATCTTCTGTTTATTTAACTGGTCAATTGAAGCCCTAACTTCAAATTATCAAGAAATCAAAGCCCTAAACTTTCATAGGTTCAAGGGCTGGTAGAGAGAGACTTTGTGCGTTCCTAGGTAGATGACATTTAGGCTGAGATTCTTGGGTAGACGACATATATATTTTAGGGTATTGTAGTATTTTTACAATCACCGTTTAATAGAGTGAGAGTTGCAGTTTAGTCCATAACCACAGGGTGGTGATGTGCATATTTCCAAATGATAAGGGGTCATCTGCTCAAGGCACAAACCACGAGGGGGTAAATTAGATTTTGCCTTTTAAATTATTCACGTGAAACGCACATCGTACCTTGCTTGTTAATTTATAAATGTATGCACGCCAGCGCCCCCCCCCCCCCCCCCACACACACACATATATATAACCCTACCCTTAGGGGTGTTTGGTAAAGCTTTGGGGGATAGGATAGGATTGGCTTTGTAATCCAAACATATCCAATGAAAACCCAGTGACCTAGATATAGATGAAAGGGTTTAATCCTATACTTGATTTAGCAAGTGATTTGGTATATTATGGAATCCACAGACAAAATATTGTATTTGTTGGTCAAATCTCTTCACTTTCACATTAAATTATAATTTTAACCTTCACTCCTATCCAATCCAAATTCATGTTTGGCTTTGGAAATTTATTAATGTTGTCTACCTTTATATTTCATTTCATTTTTCATTTTTAATTTGTGTCACCATGGGGAAAGACCGAACATAATTTTGTTTGAATTTTTTTTTTAGTTTACAAGTTACAAATGCGACCACATTAATGGACTGGTTAACATTGTCCCACATTGTTATCGGAAATCATGAAGTTAAGGAGGGAAGCAAACAAAAAACCCCCACATACATTTTCATTGTGAACAGAGAGGGAGACTGTTGGGGGGGGGGGGGCTGAGAATTCGAAGAACAAAAAAGTATCACATAAAAAATATAAAATTTTTTGTTTTTCGATTTATATACATATATATGTACATATATATAGAGAGAGATAGAGAGATAGACAGACACATAAAGGGTGAGAACAATGTCGTTTTCTGGGTATACAAGAATCTGTGAACAAATCATAGAGTGGAGGAGGGAAGCAAAAAAAAAAAAAACCCACATCTCCTTAACAGAGAGGTAGACTGTGGGGGTGATAAATCGAAGAATACAGCACTATCACATAAAATTAAACTTTTATTTTTTCGATTTATATATATATAAAGAGAGAGAGAGAGAGAGTGAACACGAATCACATTCATGGAAGAAGATATTTTACAATACAGACAAAAAACTCATTTTTTTGATATATATAAATATATGTATATATATCGATATACACAGCACGAGAGAGAGAGACAGCGAGTGAGAGAGAGAGAGAGGTAGTGGAATACCTTCGGCAATGGGGGACCACAAAGCGTCGTTTGTGAGAAGGAGGTGACCAGGGTGAAGTGGAGAGCAAATGGCGTTAAAACCCTAGAATTTTTACTGTGTAATTTCACTTTCAACCCCATTCATGAGCTTAGTTATCCCAAAATTCAGGTGAGATACATGGAATTGGGTCAGACAGGATTAATGGTCTCATTTCATACAGGCTGATTTTTTTAGCCCAACGCTTATCTCAATCCAAAAAAAAAGATCCAAAATTGAGTTTTGTGGACACTTCAATTCTTTTGTTCAATCCAATTTGCTTTATCTCATTTTATCACTTAAACCAAACACCCCCTTATTGTATCTCTGCCTATGACTCTTGGTTATCACTTTTATCCCCGCCTTGCATTTTAAAATATACATGAAAAAAAATAAATTAATAATTCCCGTGCCAGATGAGACTGGGTAGGGTGCTCCCTTTGTTACGCAAACAGTCAAAATCATAACCTTTTTAAAATAAAATAATAATTAAATAATTATTTTATATTTGAATTTCATCGTAGTACTGAAACGTGAGAGTGGGATTTGATCATTTTCAATTAAAAAGTACTATTGCATTATTTTATGTAAGGCAATGTAGCTTTAACAGCAAATCACCGCTTGACTGGGCTTTATATCCTTTTTAATTACTTCCTTTACTTTTTTTTTTTTTGCTAAAACCCTTTTTTTTATTGCTAACAAAGAGAGGAGAGGAACTCCACTTTACTCTTCGCCGGATCACATCGTATATTAAGCAAGAAATTCCATTATATATAATAAGTACCTATTAAATTAATAATATGATATTGAACATTAGAAAAAGTTGAGTGAAAATGTTCCGAAAGAGCCCTCTTTCTGCTAAATAATCATTTACTCATAGAGCAATGTAATTGAGATTTAATTTATTGATCTAATTTGCTGACTTAATTCACTATGACCTTTGGATTGACTGTGAGTGCCATCAAACATTAGAATTTTGTGTTAATCCAATGATTCTAATGAAACCACATCATTAGGTCAGCAAATTATGTTAAATTTTTAAATCAAAATAGCATTTTCCTTTACTCATATGTAACTTAAATATTTATAATTCAATACACTCCTTGACGTAGAGATTTTCTTGTGCAGGCTAAAATTTGGGTCTAACAAGTGAATATTTTTAATAATTACGATGGCAGTGAGATTTTAATATGAGATTTCCTACTCTGATATCATATTAAAATAATAATTTATTTCAAAAGTTTAAATTTTTGGAGATGGTGTAACTTACGTATTTATAATTTAACACTGGCATGGTCAAAAGTTGTTATTTTTTTATTATTTCTATTTTCGAAGAGTTTTTTTTTGTTGGTATCATATGCTTATTTTAGTAATGTGATTATTTTTCGTTTTTTGTATTGATAATATCCAATAAAAGCTCAAAGACAATAGTTTGACCAATATGAGTAGTTCAGTGGTATGGGTTGGACTTGGACAAACTATAGACCCAAACATCAAAGATTCGTCCCTTGCCGGTGTCTCCCGAGTTTGATATGTGACATTTAATTTTTATAGAACCCATGTTGAATTTTAGCCTTTCTTGAACTCGATTAATATAAAAAAGAAATCACACAAGGCAAAAACATTTTAAGAGAAATATATATTTGGGAATACTAAAAATTCTTCTTTGCTTCGTGTTCTTATCCTAAACATGATTTTAAGTAGTTTTCGATATTCATAGAAATCAAATTATTAAAAAAAAATTGACAGGGCCGGAAAAGTGATTAATCGAGATGTGCGCAACCCTTGACCATTGAAAAAAAAATTTATTTCTAAATGAACCATTCACTATTTTTTTGGTTGGAAGATTCAAATCTTTATTAAAAATCTTATTTTAGGCCTCAATATAGGATGAAAATACAATTATTGTATCAACATCACCAAACAATGACTCCTTTTTGGATTTTACTTTGCATAATAATATCCAATAGATCAAAGAGAAATACATGCAATAATGCTTCTTTTCTTTTTCATTTAAAATTTTCTAAATTTGTAATTATGATTTACTTTTCGGGTACCACCAATTATCATTCAAAGATCTCCAAATCAGTAAATTAAAAAAGATTTGTCATCTTCTCTAGACCTAAAAAAGGCTAATTTTGAATGTTAAATTAGTTTTTCCTAATTCATCATCAAAGGAGGAAATTCAAAGAGGTCTGAGTTTCAAATTTGACAATTTTTTAAAATAAAGTCACAAAACCCAATCATGAATTCTCTAATTTTTGATGGATAATCTATTTTTAATTAGATCAATAAGAAAATTAATCGAAATGTGAATAAATTTGCCTAAACAGTCCTTGATCCAATACCAAAAAATAAAACTTTACAAACTCTTCACAAGAAGATATATCTAAACATCAAAATCAACAGAAAGCATAGGTCATGTTTGGTTTAGTTTTCAAAAATTATTTTTTGTTCTTAAAATTTTGAAAACGCTCAAAATCTGTTTGTTTAACTTTTTTGTTCTTCAATTTTTTGATAGTTTTGAGAATTGAGATGTAATTTTAGAGAACAACAAAATAATATTTTCATTATTTTTCTAAAGACAAAATGAAAACAAGGGAAACAACTACCTCCAAATTAGTGAGATCTCCCCTTCGAGTTTGATTGGAGACAAAAAAGAGAGAATGTTGCATTTTTCTCAAAATCGCCTCACTAAACTCTCGCTCTGACTGTTCATTTTTCTCCTCCAGCTCTCCTCTCTCTCTCTCTCTCTCTTTTTGTTCATTCTTCTTCTCCACCTCACTGAACGTGTGTGTGTGTGTGTCTCTCTCTATTTGTTGTAGTTGTTATCTAGCAATTGTGCTGTTGTTCGATGGTGGTTGTGGGTTTCAAGTGGTAGTTGTGGGTTGTTCACTGTTTTTTGTGAATTGTTTGGTGGTGATTGTTCACTGTGCTTTGTGGGTTTTGGTTCTGCTTCGGTGGTTTACTGTGCTTTGTGGGTTTTGATGGTGAGCGTGGGTTTTGGTTCAGTGGTTCACTATGTTTTGGTGGTGGTTATTCATGTGCTTTGTGGGTTTCGGTGGTTCACTGTGTTTTATGGGTCTTGATGCACAGTAAAAGAGAGAGATAAAGAGATGGAGATGGAGATTATTGTTTAAACAAATTTTTATAATTTTTGTTCTTTTAAATTATTTTTAAAAATATATAATCAAACAAGTTTTACAATTTAAAAATTTTTAAAAACACTTTCTTAAAACTATTTCAAAAACAATTTTTGAATACTGTTACATGCAAACTAAACAGGCATAGTGATCTAATTCTGGCGCCATTGGTACAAAAACCCTCTTTCAAAAATCTCTCTCTCTCTCTCTCTCTCTCTAGACTATACGCTAACAGATCTTCCTCTCTTGGCTTATATATATGCATTGTAACTCTGTAAGTAAAATCATGGCTATGGAAGACAGGGAACGCACAGTATCTGGGTCGCCAGGGGGCAATTCGGAGAGAGAGTCACCGCCCCCGGCGAGTGGTGGTGGTGGTGGTGGTTGGTTCATGCCAGAGGTGATGAACATTGCTGTGAACACAAGCATAGAGGGAAATCTTGGAGTCACTACTGGAGGTATTGTGGATGGTGGTGGGAGTGGAGATTTGTTGGGGAAAAAGAAGAGAGGGAGGCCAAGAAAGTATGATGCAGATGGGAACTTGACACTGTCATATATGGCATCAGGATCACCACCACCACCACCACCAGGTTTTTCTTGGAAATCACCTTCTTCTGGGTTATCCTCCAAAAGGGGACGTGGTCGCCCGCAAGGTTCTGGTAACCGGCAACTACTCTCTTCTCTGGGTGAGCTCAAGACAAATCAGTTGTTATTTACTCATTTTGGTTTGCTGTTTTATCTGATTAATTGGTAAAATCTACCCTTACAATTTAGCTCAACAAATCACTCAAGCATTGGTGTAACTGGGTTTTTTTCCCTTTCATCATTATTTTTTTCCAATTTGTTTTTGGGAGAGGGGGTTGCAAATTGGGGTTTTTGTTCTGGTTTAACAAATTTTGGGAATACCCTTCAAATTTAGCTCAACAAATAAGTTAGGTTTTCGTTCAGCTGGGTTCTTTTTCTTACATTTTTTAGGGGGGCTTTTTGGTGTTCTCCCCTGGGGGACGAGGGGCTTATTGGGGGAAATAAATGGGATTTTTTGCTTTGATTTAACAAATTTAGTGGTTATTACGCCCATACAAATTGGGGTTGCAGTTTGGTACGGAATGGTTTTGAGTTAGTAATTAGTTACAATGATTAGATGAGCAAAGGAAACTGGAAAAATTGGTGCTGTGAGTTATAGAGGCAATGAAGTGCTTTAGGGATCTATTTTCCAGTGTGTAAAATGAGTTCTTATTTTAATTATTTTTCATTTTTGTGTTATATTTATTTATCTTACGTTTTGATACTTTGATCTGTGAAGGTGAGTTGTTTGCAAACACAGCCGGAGGGGACTTTACCCCACATGTGGTGACTGTGAATACAGGAGAGGTAATGCATAGATTATGGCAATTAGTTTTCTCAACCTTGTGCTTGTTAATTTGTAATAGCAATTCCAAAAGGTAACAACTTTGAACAGATCTACAGTTGCTTGTGGAACGTAATGGAGAAATTGTAATTTGCAGGATGTTGCAGCAAAGATTTTTTCATTTGCTCAGAAGGGTCCTAGAGGGATATGCATTCTTTCTGCCAATGGAGCTGTTTCCAATCTCACAATTCGCCAGCCCAGTTCTTCTGGGGGAGTTTTGACATATGAGGCATGATTAAATCTGTTTTCATCTTCTTTCCCTCGCATTTGTTGGCATAGAATTGAATCTTTTCTCTTCTTCTAGTTAAATTTGTGGGGATTATTTTTCCATTGTCTAGTGCTCACATCTTTGTCCATGTCTTCGGGTGATGCTAATGATGAAAGTCCTGTTCAGATTGCTCTTCATTTTCTATCATGTTGTCCTGGATAGGTATTTATTGGGTTCTTCTTATTGCAAGCACAAGTAGTATGCTAATTCACAATCTGGGGACTAAATTTAGGTTGTTTATGTTTGAATTAAAATCATGGAAGTTTTTGCAATATACTGTTAGGCTTTAGTCATCAAGTAGAAAATGCATGTTTTCAGAGAGGCCTAAACTATCTACTGAATCTTCAAGATTCCTCTGTCCACATACCATAGTTTCTTAAGTCTTCTGGGTTATAATGTTATCTCAGGCTTCCTGCTATTTGCATTTGTATTGGAAATAATTTTATTTACTCATGATGAAAAAATAAGGTGATTTTTCACACCCGTTCTTTCTATTTATCTTTTGATTTTTAATCAATTGATTATTAATTTCATGCAGGGACGCTTTGATATATTATCTCTAACGGGGTCGTTCACAATTTCTAAAAATGGTGGTGTAAAAAGTAGGACTGGTGGTTTAAGTGTCTCATTGGCTGGCCCTGACGGACAAGTGATTGGAGGTGGTATTGCTGGTTTATTAATGGCAGCCAGCCCTATCCAAGTAAGTTTTATCTTTCTTGTGTCTTTTTGTTTTGAGTTAGTATATTACTCAAGAATCTTTCATTGTGTCTGTGCTGTACTATTATTTCTACATAAAATCAACAAATCAATATCAACATAGTGGTCATATAGTTTGAATATTGTATCTCATCATCTAGCATTTCTCCTTCCAAAATTGTCCTTACAGAGAGTTACTAGCATGCTGAAACCAACTCACTCACAACTAGATGGCCTATTGTTTGAATTACAAGTACTCTGGCCTGCTTCACACTATTTATGCACCATACCCAGTGAATAATGACTTGTGTGTATAATGTTCTAACCTCTCAGTCATTTTTAAGATGCTGGAAATTTAAAGGGAATACCCCGATATTCATATTCACAAAGGGCATATGCCCAAACGATGAAATATCCACTTTTTGTCATAGGAGGGACATGTTGTTTCCATTACGAGGCTATAAGGCATTGAAGAATAGAGGCAAAATGTTCAAGTTTGAGAGACTTACACATCATAAGATTGTTGTCCATCAAGAGTTTTATCTTAAATTCAAAACGGTGGCCTTTATTATGGCTGTGTAAAGGTCCGTTAGGGCCAGTCCGTGGTCAGTCCACTGGCCACCCTTTCTTTGGGTGGATTTCCCGGCCTGGCCATATGCCAACATTTAACCAATCTGACCCTCAGGAGTTTGGAATTCCTCTTGGTTGTTTGTCCGTCTTGATGCAAAAGGCCACAATAGACTTGAGATCAACTCTCCATTATCTCCAACAACCCTGTAAGTCTTCTAGATACCCCCTGTTGCAGGTTTGCTAAACACTGATCGTGCACTCAGTAGGATGAATAATTGTGAGGCTGGTTATCATAATTGGCAATTGTTCGTAGACATTTGATGCCAGCTTTAGTCAGTTAAATTAGACTGCTATTAAGCAATTAAATCCCCTTGGATTTAGAAAAAGACGTAATCTCATCTCATTAGAAAATTATGTATTGCAAAACTGACGTGGATTCTTTTTATTGCCAGATTGTAGTGGGAAGCTTCAAACCAAACAGTAATAAGAATAAGACACATAAAAGGAAGCATTATCTTGAATCTACAATGGCTCCCATGATCCCGGGTGGTCTGGACACTGTGACAGTGGTGAAACCAATCTCGCAAGCAGCATCAGATGGCAGTATTTTCCCAATTCCAACATCTCAATTACGTGTGCAAAGCCATTCCACATCTACTGATGCCGCAGGGAGTAATTGCTTCGAGCCCATTTTGAATCAGAGACAGTATCCTGATATCAATGTATCCGTGACACTTGAGTAGCACATAGGGCATGATCAACTAGATTTTTCCTGTTCTTTTTATTTATTTTTTTTGTAATTGTGTCTCAAATTTAATGTTTGTCATCTGAAGAATCAACTTTCGATCAATTGTAGACACTGGTTAACATGATCAGTTATGAGGCTTTAACTTCCATTCTTGGTGTGATATTGAACAAGGCTCCTTCAATATCTGTCTGTGATTGTTTAGTAGTAGTTGTAGCTCTCAATCCCCCTTAGCAGTGAATGCCTTCTTGCTGCATTTAAGCAGTGCTCCTCATTAAAACATTCTACCGGCCTAGATTGGATCTATATTCACAGCAGTTTATCCTCCACTTCAAAGTTCCCTATGCAAACTGAATGGAGCAGAAGTGCTCCAGTAAGATATATATTCCTTCCTACAAAGAAATATTTTGGCTCAAATTTGCTAAACCATCAGATCTACCGTCGACTTCATTCATCTGTTTTAGGGAAAATTTTCAAATGAAAACACAAGATTCTGGGACTTTTCCGAAACATAAAAGAACATAATGCAGATTATTTATTACGAAACACTGATCCCAAAACATAGCTGAACATATTCCAATTTAAGACATTAGCACATTCTTATAGCAACGCTTCAAAATACTAAAGACAGCACAAGCATGAACACGCAAATGCACCACAAAAGCACTCTAGAATGAAGAACTAGGATCTAGGCTACATCTCCCAGATTTGTTGCACTCATCTCTTCCGCTCACCAACTTTTCCATTACGAAAACGACGAACAATCTTGGAGTAGAAATCCCAGTTAGTATGTGACGGTGTGATTGCAGGCTGTCCAAATGGATGCTTCTTTACATTAGTAGGAACATCATCAGCATCTGCAAGGCCTTCCAAAAACAGCTGCATTTTGCCATTTGGACCTAATGAAAAAAATTATTCAGTATTGTTTAGTCTAACAATGATTTCCTGCACATAACTGTAATAATAAAAATTCTAACTACTATTTAGTACAAAAAGCAACCCTAGTCAGTTCATCTCACCTAGGTAGGTATCGTTCACAGCATATGCATTGTATTTCTGGGGAAAAATTGCTGTGTTAGGCTGCAAGGAACAGAAGTGATAGGTGGAAGCTATCCATTGGACAAGTATGTGTGTTATACCCACTAAAGAAAGTTTCGTTTGAAATTTTCCGATATCAGATATTAAAGCATAAGGTGTTCTAGTTACTGGATTGAGCAGGGCTGCGTAGGGGATGAATATTTCCCAATACGCCACCATGGAAGAGTAAAACATTTCTTTTCCCAGAGTTTCTTCAGCTCCTTCAAGAATATGGGTTTTCTTGCCTTCTCCAAACACCCAAACCCAGAATCAGTACTCTTCTTGATCCTGGAATACATCAAAAATTAGTGATGGGACAGTAACCTTATAATACTAAATAAGACAGCAAAAAGTACATGAATATCTTGCCACTATAGTGTCAAGAATAGATCAAATGTAGTAGTTTATATAAATTGTGCATGTGGAGAGACAATTTTTTGTGGTTCACTAGACAATTATGAACAACAGAATCAATAAGTTCAAAGAACATTACTATGCCAACAAAAAATCTTACAAAAAAAACGTTTACCAAATGAGTTGGCAAGCTCATATGGGCTGAATGAATTACTGCTCAATGTGCCTTTGGTGGTACATGAAATCTGTCAACTCATTTGGTAAAAATATTTTTCATGAATCTTAATAATATGAATTAGATTATTCATGTTTCAAAAGAAATGCTTGTATATAAGTTCTTACAAAACCCCAGCAAATTTATAAAAAAAAAAGGTCATTAAGAAACTATAAACTATACTTACCCACACAAAAACCAATTTGCCTCGCAATCCACCCATGATAGAGCTTAAAACTCCATCTATATTCAATCTGTTGATACAGCAGCAGCAAAACGTAGGAGAAAATACCTCAAAACATAGAGAGAGATAGAGAGAGATAATGAAAGCAACTAAAATTTAGGAGTACTGACCGCATTGCAGTAGACCATATCCCCACTTCAAATCTCTCAAAGCAAAATCTCAAGAACTCATCACAGAAAGGCCTCTTGAAAACTGTACAAAAGAGAGCAAAGACACAAGCCAATTTTACATTGAAAGTAAATCATTTGTAACAATCACATAAAACAAAAAAAAAATGCCTAAGAATGTTAACCAAGGAAGTTTCCGGAAACAAAATCGGGATGACGGTTTATTCGAACGCTGTACTCTTCACGACGGTGCAAACTATGCACCAGCAACCCACCAAGGTTAAGAACAAGAAGTTTCTTCCTCGGACCAAGGTTCAATTTTTCTAAGGTAAGTCCTAATTCATCATTTCTTGAGTCTTTTTCATCCTCACTACTATCATCCAAAACCACATTCTTTAACGTCAACTTGGGGAGCTAAATTCCATTATTGAAGTTAGTATAAGAAGAACCTTCAAAGTGTTGTACTTTGTTTAAATGGTATGGAGGTTGATGACGATATAGCTTCTGTTATTATGAGGCTTTTGGAAGTTCAAGGTTCATGCGTGCATGAGAAAATGAACCCTTCGGTTTTGCTCTTATAGTGTGTGAGTTCTACATAGGGATCCGTTCATTGAAAAATGTTGGTGTATTCATGTACGGAGGTTGAAACTTGAAACTAATGGAACTAAAAATTTGATTTAATTTGTTGATTTAATAATGTGATTTCATTGTAATAATTAAATTAACACTAAATTTTAATATGTAATAGGACCCACATCAATCCAATGACTATACTAAATTAAAACTTAATAACATTATTAAATTTAAAAATTATTATTTAGACCTAATTTGAACACTTGATCAATTGTAATTCTTAGACTAAAAGTGCACTGCATCTAATTTAAAAACTTAGACATAGTAGGCTCCACCACAAAGTCCCCAAAATCATTGCACGGGACTTTAGGCGGCTTAGCAGCCTCCATGTAGACACATATAAAATTGTAGTTATTATAGGAGAAAATATTCAGTGCTTATCAGGCTATCAATGATAGCTGATACTCATCACCAATCAATGGATGTTACCTCATATTCTGTCATTGGCAGGTGCCAGGCTGTCATTGACAACTGGTACTCATCACCAATCAAGAGATGTCACCTCAATGTAGATTGCCCTTCAAATTTTCCCTCTCAACTGCCTACCTTGAGGTGACATCCGTTGATTGGTGATGAGTATCAGTTGTCATTGACAGCCTGATACCTGATAAGCACTGAATATTTTCTCCTATTATGGAGTCTAGAGAACGCTGAAGAGTGGAGCCAAGAGGTGACGGCTCGGAGAAACTGAGTAAACCAGCTGTCACCCGTATTTAATGCAACTTAACCATTCATTTATAGCAATGCAAGTGATGGAGACAGTGCCATTAGTGAGCTCCTGCATCCTTATGATGACTAGACATTAATGGCTACTACGTCGAATATATCTTTTTGGAGTATCCCGAGGTATTGTTTCCCAAGCATTGAACATTCAGTAGTAGGTGTCAGGCGTCGATCATAGACACTTGAGTGTTCAGGAATAACCATAAGTGTTCGGCTTATCCTCGAGCACTTGTCCTATCATCTTAACGTTAAATATGTAAAAGATCTAGGTAGAGAACATTCAGATCTTTGTGAGTAAAAGTGTCAAATATTGAATGTTCAGATGAAACTTGAAGTTTTTGCACTCATTGTTATTCCAGATATAAATACTCTATAGAAAAATGAGCAAAGATACACAATATTGAACCACAATACATGAAACATTGAGCTGAAGTTTTAAATCTTATACTGAATTAAGCTTCGGAGGGGATAAACCAAGTGTTCACCCGGCCCCTTTTTCTGACCTGGTTGTTGTAGGTTCACCAGACTGAAGGTCACTATCTCAAACTATTGCCCGTACAATTGCTTTATGTCATGCTTAAGCTATAGAACCCATATTATTTGAATAATATTATTGGGATGTAAAAGATTGACTTAATTTATCGAAAAAATAATGTGTAAAGTGATTGAAGTCTCAATGAAAAAGTTTAAGGATTACAATTACAATAATGTCATTGGGTTACATCACAATCACATCATTAGATCAAGACAAATTAATTTTTTAGATTTCAACAGTCGCTGTAAGAAAAAACGAAATCAAATGTAAGCTTTGATGTTATCAACAAAATTACCGGCATTTAATAAACGACCGGCAAAATGTATCGACGCTTTTCCCAGCAGAAATGAAGCGCCATTTACTTCGTCGGCTACCCAAGATGGCATTACAGGCGATTGCTTAAACGCCGGGATTGCCAAATCATAACCAGCAATTTTCTGGCGTTGACACAAACGGCCGGTATTGGTTTTTTTTTTTTATTTTAATTTTTAAATTATTTCCAATCCAGTATACCTGACTGTTAAGCGGTGTGTTGCCAAGAAATTTTTAGTAAAAAACTAGTGGTATTCAATGTGCATGACATCGACATCGACATCAACCAAGCCTCACCAAAGTCAAAATTAACCCTATACAGATTCTTCTATGTTATAGACAATGCATGTGCGCGGGTATTAGAGAGAAATGGGGAAAAAAAAAATCGTTCATCGACTTCTAAAATCAAAGATAGGCCACTTTCTCAACGTCTCTTTTTTCGTCTTAATCTAACCATTTTAACTAATCATGTCGTGTCGATCTATTTATTTTTGTGTCTTATTCGTATTGACTCATATACGTATAACCCGTAAATAAAAAATTTAACGTTCAATTTTATGTCTAAAATTTCATTATCACTTAATCGAACTTATACTCAGTACTTTCTATAAACTAAAAATTACCTCAATAAATATACTCATAAAAATGACTGAAAAAATATATATTTTTTTACAACAATTAGGGCACTACTTGATAAAATATAATAAAAATTTTGAAATTTTGTTCTTCTAATACTTGATCGTGTTAATTTCATGTTGTCTGTGTTCGATATTAACTTAACTAATTTATTATTCGCGTTAACAAGTAGTGTTATATATGGGTTCTTATCGAAAAATGACCAACCATAATCCTCTAATTTTGTGTTAATTTCTAATTGTATTTTCGTATTTTGTCAAAAATTACAATTAGATATGTATTCACAACAGTTTATCCGCTTCACTTCAGCGTTCCCTATGCCAAAACTCAAAATAGACCAGCAGTGCTCCAATAAGATATATATTCCTGCCTACGAAGATTTATTTTGGCTTAAATTTGCTAAACGATAAGATCTATCATGAACTTCATTCATCTGTTCTGGGGAAAAGTTTCAAACGAAAACACAAGGCTCTGTGACTTCTCTGAAACATAAAAGAACATTAATGCAGATTATATAAGACAGAACACTGACCCCAAAACATAGCTGAACATATTCCAATTGAAGACATTAGGACATTCTTATAGCAACACTTCAAAATACTAAAGACAACACCAGCAAGAACACACCAAAATGCACCGCAGAACCACTCTAGATTGAAGAACTAGGATCTAGGCTACATCTCCCAGATTTGTTGCACTCATATCTTCCTCTCATCATCTTTTCCATTATTACGAAAACGACGGATAATCTTGGAGTAGAAACCCCAGTCAGGATGTGAGGGTGTAATTGCAGGCTGCCCAAAAGGATGCTCCTTTACATAAGTAGGAACATCATCAGCATCTTCAAGGCCTTCCAAAAACAGCTGCATTTCGCCTTTTGGACCTATTGAATAAACTTACTCATTATTTTTGTTATAGTACTCCAACTATGATTTCCAGCACATTATTTAGTACAAAAAGCAACCTTGGTCAATTCATCTCACCTAGATATGTATCATTCACATCATCGGCCTTATATTTCTTTGGAAAAATTGCTGTGTTAGGCTGTAAGAACAGAAAATTAAGTAAGCGTAAATAAATAAGTCCCTATTTATATGTGCGATTTCAAGGCTGCAACTCTTTGCTCGTTTGAATTTTTTCGATATTAGAAATTAAAGCATAAGGAGTTCTAGTTACTGGATTGAGCAGGGCTGTGTAGGGATCATCATCAATCAACAATGTATTTGTTGATGAATATTGTCCAATACGCCATGGAAGGGTTGAATATTTCTTTTCCCACAGTTTCTTCAGCTCCTTCAAGAATATGGGCTTTTCTTTCTTCTCCAAGCTCCTAAAACCAGAATCAGTGCATTCTTCTTGATCCTGGAATACACCAAATAGTAGTTATCAGACAGTAATTTTATAATACTAAATAAGATAGCAAAAAGTACACAAGTTTCCTAACACAATAGGATGTAGTAGTTTAATTGTTAAAAGACTATTTTTGTGATTCAAATCAGTAAGTTCAAAGAACAATATTATGCAAAAAAAAAAAATCATGCAAAAAACACATTTACCAAATGAGCAAATTAAAAAAATGTTACTAAGAAACTATAAACTATACTTACCCACACAAAAACCAATTTGCCTCGCAATCCACCCATGATAGAGCTTAAAACTCCATCTATATTCAATCTGTTGATACAGCAGCAGCAAAACGTAGGAGAAAATACCTCAAAACATAGAGGGAGATAGAGAGAGATAATGAAAGCAACTAAAATTTAGGAGCACTGACCGCATTGCAGCAGACCATATCCCCACTTCAAATCGCTGAAAGCAAAATCTCAAGAACTCATCACAGAAAGGCCTCTTGAAAACTGCAAAAAAGAGAGAGCAAAGCCACAAGCCAATTTTTCATTGAAAATAAATCATTTGCAATAATCACATAAAACAAAAAAAAAAATGTCTAAGAATGTTAACCAAGGAAGTTTCCGGAAACAAAATCGGGATGACCGTGTTTTCGAACGCTGTACTCTTCACGACGGTGCAACCTATGCACCAGCAACCCACCAAGGTTAAGCACAAGAAGTTTCTTCCTCGGACCAAGGTTCAATTTTTCTAAGGTAAGTCCTAAATCATCATTTCCTGAGTCTTTTTCATCCTCACTACTATCATCAGAAACCACATTCTTTAACTTCAACTTGAGGGGCTTAAATTCCATTGTTGAAGTTAGTATAAGAAGAACCTTGAGGATGTTAGAGCAGAGTGTTGTATGTGGTTTATATAGTATGAAGGTTGATTATTGATAGCGATAGAGCTTCTGTTATTGCGGCTTTTGGAAGTTCAAGGTCTATGCATTGAATGAGAAAATGAACCCTTCTGTTTTGCTCTTAGGATGTGAGTTCTACTACATAGGGATCCGTTCTACCCCATTGAAAAATGTTGGTGTAGTGTTCATGTACCGAGGTTGAAACTAGAAACCTTTGGGCGCAGGCAGAAAGAAATTTTTGTAGAAATTTCTACAATAATAGTTTTCTTTTGTAGAAAGAAATTTCTCCAACTTAAAATTAATAAAATCTTAAATAAGATCAGATATGTTACAAACAAATTAAGTAGATTAGTCTCACTATTATTACAAAAAGTATCACTTTAGATATCAAATTATTTTGAGACGACTTTAAACTCATAACTAACGCTCCTTTGAAAACGTTTACGGTTTTTTAATTTCTAAAAAACAAAAAAAATGATCAATTTTGGGTTTTCGTTAGCAAAAATTAAAAATAGAAAATGTGTTTGGTTGCTTTTATAATTGTAAAAAAAATTGAAAACAAAAATAGAAAACTCGTTTGGTTGTAACACTTCTAATTTTTTTATTTGTTTTTGTCACTAGCTTGTATACATTAACAAAATTTTATGCTATTAAAAAATTAGAACAATAATCCATAACTGATCATCTAATAGTTTAAATGTACTACAAATACATCTCATGATTTCCAAACGTTCCATATAAACATCTCATACTTCATAGTTATATTAATACTAATAACACTACATTAAAGTTAGTAGCACCAACAACAAAAGTCATAGTTCATAAACACCAACAATAAAAATGTCTGTCAATGCCCATGCAATCTTGCCCACAATTCATCAGCAATGTCATCTCTCACACAAGCCTATGCAAAGTTGATTTGGACTGATATCTATTTCAATTGAATTTTATGAAATTGATCTCAAATTGTCAGTACAATCCCTATTTTCATCACTAAACTCATCAAACAATCGGTATTGACGAGCATACATTCTGATGAAGTTATGCATCGTACAATAAGTTGTTGGTATATGTTTTGTGTTTTTATGGAATAAGGGGGCATTTGATTGAGAATGTGAAACCGAGACTTTAGTACTCCAAACAGGGCCTAATCCAACAGACCAATTTATATATATATATGTAATAATTAAATTGGGTTTTTTTCTTAGAATTTTTAATTATTTAATTATTACTTCATATTCTAACATATGTCTAATGTAACAACTCCTCTACCCACTAGTTAATTATCACTCATTCAATTCTTTTTTTAAATGTGCAACTAATTTAATTTTTTTAGAACTATAATTTCACCATTATAACTTTACATAATTATTTTATTACCCTAATTTTTTTAAAAATAATTTTTAAATGATATGATAACAATAGAAAAAAAAATGAAGGAAAAGGGGGAAGGAAATGTGTGCAATTTCTATGCATGACACTGGGCCACCGCTAGTAATACATAAAGCAATGTTATTGGAACTTAATTTATTAAACTAAATTACTGATTCAATTCACCGTTACCTTTGAATTGACTATGAATCTTATTAAACATTAGAATTTAATAGCGATCCAACAATTATAATAAAATCACATCATTAGATTAGTACATTATATCAAATTTTTAGATGTACCATAACAGGTGGAGGTTTAAGTGCAAAGCTGTGTTTGTTTTATCAAAATACCAACGCCACGTATACTCGTAGTCGTGGACACAAGGGATGATGGGAGAAAAGAAAATATAAAGATTTAATTAAAACATATTTTGAAGAAACAGCAAGTAGAGGATGTAGCTCAGATGGTAGAGCCCTCGCTTAGCATGCGAGAGGCATGGAGATCGATACCTGGATCTGCACTTCTTAACTTCGGTTATTTTTTCTTTTCTTTTTTAAATTATCGTACTTTGATAAGTTTAAAAGTGTCATAATTAATTTAGTAATTTTTATTTCAAAATTACATTGGGTTTTATGTCTATGACTTTCTGGTTTTTCATCAAAGGGCATGAAATTTATGAACAATTTTCTTCCAATTTCTTGAAAAACAAACAGTCTTACTAATTAACACAAGCATTGGGTTGTGTTGTATATCTCAAAAATATTACCTTGTCGACCATATTTTTGACAATCCAACGCCACTAAAGCTTGGTAACGAAGAAGCTCATACATGCACAAGTGATGTGTTTTTTTTTTTTTAATAATGGTGAGGAATTTGTAGTCTCGAAAATTTATTTTTTTACATTGCACTACCAATATCATCAAATGAATGCAATTGGATATTCACTCTAACTTTCGTTGTTATTTTTTGTCAAATCCTGTTGCATAGATGAATTTGACGGAAACATCAACAGAAGTGTAAGTGTTACATTGTACCTATTTGATTATATTGAGGGTGAAATGTGAAAAAAAAAAATAATTAATTGAGAGTGTAAATTAAAAATTTTTAAATCTTTTAAGGTGTCAAGTATGATTCTCTCTAATTGTAATGCTTTTTTTTTTTTTTATTTTGGGACTCACCATTATGCACTTGGTCTTATGATCCATTAACTAGTTCTATATTGTATAGCAGTGTAGGAGCCCAATCCATTTTTGGATGGATTTGTTAGCAGAACATGTTTTTTTTTTTTTATACACAAAATAAATATACAAATAGGTCACATATTTGTCAGGTACTTGCTTATTAATGTCGTTGATCTTTTGCAGCACCGACACATCACCGGATCTTATTATTGGTGACTGGTGAAAAAGGAAGGTCAGTGGCCAGAGAGAAGTGAATGGATGACAGCTTGGGGCACTAGAGAGACATCGAGTTGATGGTGTATTAATTATGACTATGGATTGAATGATAGAACCTCAAACGGACACATCCTTTTGCCACAACAAACTCCTCTTGATCCCATATGTTTGTATTCTTGTGGTTAGAAGAAATCCCTTTTATGAACCTAACCAAAACAATGATTGACAATTTGTATCTTGGCTTAAACCTTATATGTGTCCAAAGAATATTGACATAGAACAAGCAACGATAGATTTCATAAAAAAAAGTAAGTTGTCACGTCTCTAAAATACAGTGATAGATGAAAAGACATTAGTAAGAGTAAAATGGTCACTCCACCGCAAAGTCAAATTTGAGACTAATTCTATTTGATCAATATCACAAGAATTATAGTGTCGTGTAACCTAACTTGCAGTCATCTAATGGTGGTAATGTAAGGAAAAATCAATGGTTTTGGATATAAATACAGCAAAGAAAGAGTTGACAAAATATACGCTGTAAGAATTAAAAAATCGAGATTACCTCCTACTGAAATTGAAATATTAATGTATATCTGAACTTGATCTGTCAGTCTTCCTCTTCCTGCAAAACAAACAAACTGCCCCAGATCGAAGTGTTTCGATTGAAGATACTTCGATGCTTAAGTCAGTAAAGATAATGAAACGAATGGAAGAAGACCAAAAGAGTTCAGCGTACCTTCTTGGCTCTTTTTGCTTTTTATAGATGGTTATTCCCTTAGGGTTTCCATGATTCTTGATTCAAGGTGACACACCTTCCTTAGATTCAGTGATTCAGTTTGAAAAGTTGTTGATATTTCTCCATTATTTTCTCCTGATATTTTTAATTTCTTTGATTCGTTTATCTGATTGCCTAAGTTATAGACAACTCTTTATCCTTCTGTTTATTATTTAAAACAACTCGGACATATCGAATGCCGAACAGATTAAGAGACTTGGTTTGGCACAAACCGATTTCTTCAATTGCCTTGCTGAACACTTTAACGGACTCGACTTGGTACAAGCCGAGCTCTTTTATTTCTTAGCTGAACAGACTGATGAGTTCGGTCATAAAGAGAACCGAATTTTTTCTCTTATCTCCGAACCTCTAATTAGCTCGGTTTGGTTAAAAAGCTTAATAGAGGATTTTTCATCACATGCCTTGTCTTGTCAACATCACGTGAGTACATTTAATGTCATGTTACATGTAATCATGAGGTTTAATCCCTTCATTTGCCCCCAGAAAATATTTGACAGACATTTTTTGGCTGTCAGTCGTTTTCTTATTGATTCATCATCACTTGTACTTTGTAACATGTCTTTTTCGTTTTGGCGGTACATTGAGAGCATTTAAATGTTACCCTTTAAAATTCCTCCTTCTTTATAAACCTGCTTTCTTCGTATTTTTGCTTTTTTGCTACCAGACTCTCATATTTTTATCCTCTTCTTTTTGTATTTTTCTTCCTCTGCACTTCATCTTCTTCATGGCTCCTTTTACTCCTTCAGAAGTCCCTGCCTTCAAAATCAAGTAAAACATTCCAGATGACGTCGAGGTTAGAATTACTAGGAAAGATGAGTCATTGATTGGCACAAGAGAATCAATCCTCATTCCTACTCGTGTCATAACCGAGGGTGGAATTCGTTTTCCTCTTAACCCTCTTCTTCTCTGGGTTCTCTCTGCTGCAAAACTTTGCCCTCTCCAATGCTGCCTCAACTTTTTTCGAATCGTCATGGAGATGTCTTCTTTGAACAAGATTCTGGGTTTGAGTCTTGGATTGTGGGAGATTTTGTACTGCTACATCATCAAGGCCACCAGAGATAGTTACTATCTATCGGTGAGGAAGAAGGAGAGGTATTTGGTAACCCACCTTTCAAATTCAAACAAGGGCCATGAGAATGATGTGGTGTTTGTCTCTGGCAACTGGGAATATACTCCTGGTGTCATTCCATTCTATTGTTATCCCTACGAAGAAGGCATGTCAGGTATTTGATATCATTTGCCTTCTGTTTTAACTTTGATTTTCCATTCTACTGACTTGAGTTTTCTTTTGCACAGGTGAAACTGTGAAGGGAAGGATTGTTGAGACCTCTGTAAAGATGGACCAACTTCAGAAAGTTTGGAATTTCAACGAGTTTTTTTTTCTGCCGAGCCACCCACACGCTGCTCGGGTACACTCCAACTTACACTTCCTTCATTGTTGTGCCGGACCGACGCAACTCCACTTTGGTTGCAGATCAAGAGAAGATCCAGTCTGCTCGGGCTTAGACTCCCCGAGCCAAGAAGAAATCTCCTCTTGCAGCATCTGGGTGTAGAACGGTAAAAAAATTTCTTGACTTCCTATCAACTGTCAAACCGACCCCGTCCTCCGAGCAGACTCAAACTACTCCAATGATTTAGACTTCTGTTCTTGAGGATCCCATTCCCGAGGTTCCAACTGAAACTCCTCTTATTAACAATGCTGATCCACCATCCATTGGCCAAGCAAATATGGCTCAACCAACTAAAACTTCAAGTCCAGTTCAGCTTGATCCTCCAAATTCTGTCTTTTCTCCCATACCCGAAGATGACTCAATTTTTAAACTTGCTGAGGACCCTGCCCCAAAAATGCAGAGGATAGTCGAGTCCGAAGCGAGCCTTCCTCCCGAGCCTACCAATCCTCCCTTCCGACCAGTCCTTAGAGTAAAAAAGAGAAATATTACTGTCAAGGACTCTACAATATAAGATTTTAATGTTGCAATGGGAATTACCTGAGGAGTGATTCTGCCTCGGAATTTGACAATGAATGAGGCTCTTATTGACGATGAAGTGTGTCGTCAAACAATTCAACATATGGTCCTGGTAAGTCTTGATTCTGACTTCCTTTAAGTTTTTTACTCTGTCTAAAAAAAATTTCTAAGTCTTTTTCCTCCTTAATAAAGGTCTGCAAAAAGTCCATGAGGTCAGAGCTCGAATAGCTCGAGAAGATAAGGCAATGAAAGATGTCATCCATGCCCGAGCTTCAGCTCTGGCCAAGAAGGAGAGTGTGGATGAAGAGTATGCAAAGCTCTGCAAAGAAGTGAAGGTTCTGCAGGCTCAAAACCAAAGCCTGACAGAGGAGAACCAGAAGCTTTCTTCGGAGGTTGTGAAGCTCAAGGAGTCCGAGCATGAAGTCAGCGTAGAACTTTCTCAATCCTAGCTTGATTATTCTACCCTTCTTGAAAAATTTGATCAATACAAGTTTGAGGTAAAAGAGAGAGAAGATGCAGCTTACGACGAAGGAGTTGAGAAAGCGGAAAGTGACCTTGCCTTGCAGATCCCTCAACTTCAAGATGCTTTCTTCAGCAAGGATGGCGTGCTGCGCTAGTTGCAGCAGAGGTCCCTTCTACGTCCAAACTCTTTTCAAGATATTCAGCTCCGAGCTTCTCTCATCCTCCTGCTCTTTCAGTCACATAGAAGACTTTTTTAAAATTTCTGATGTATCTGTACTTTCTGATGTACCTGTTCAATGATCATGATCTTGTAAAAAAAAATTTGAAGTATGAATGCAAAACACTTTTTGGCCTTTTAGTTTCTATAATTTGCTATATGTTTTGAGAAAATATGACTTTTTGAAATCTAAGTCCTATTTGTTTTTCAGCTCTTAAGTTATGGCCTCTGTTCGGTCTTTCTTCGAAAAATTTGGTTCCTCAACATGAACCTTTTTTATACTTGAAAAAATTTCTAGTCTTTTTGAAGTCATAGCCCTTGCTCGGCCCTTTTTCAAAGAGCTCGGTTCCTCAACAGGAACCTTTTTATACTTAGAAAAAGTTTCAAGCCTCTTTGAAGTCTTGGTCCTTGCTCGACCCTTTTTCAAAGAGCTTGGTCTCTTAACAGAAACCTTTTTATACTTAGAAATAGTTTTAAGCCTCTTTGAAGTCTTAGCCCTTGCTCGACCCTTTTTCAAAGAGCTCGGTTCCTCAGTATGAACCTTTTTTATACTTAGAAAAAATTTTAAACCTCTTTGAAGTCTTAGCCCTTGCTCAACCCTTTTTCAAAGAGCTCGATTACTCGGTAGAAACCTTTTTTATACTTAAAAAAAATTTAAAGCCTCTTTTAAATCTTGGCTCT